TTTTTTGGTATCAGGGATTGAGCTCGGGCCCTTGTGCTTGCAAGGCAGGCGGAGGAACCACTGAGCTAAATCCCTGGCCCTAATAATTGTTCTTTTTAAAAACATGTATTAGCTTCTTAAATTATGCACAAAGCCGAAAGTGGAATTATAAGCCACTGTTGCAATAACTTTTATTGTTACATTGTTATAAAATCTTATAATCGCCCCTGCATTTACTTTTCTTGAGATCTTCATTTCTTCACAAGCTTTGGGATCTAACTCTGGTCCTTGTGTTTTCGAGGCAGGTGGCAGAACCACTGAGCTAAATCCCCCCGCCCACTGCCTAGGGTTCTTTCATTTCAACCTGCAGATAGATCTCCCCTGAGGATTCCTTATAGGGGGTCTGGCAATAATAAACTCAGTTTCTCTGGGAATGGTTTAATGATCTCTCCGCATGCCAGGGTGTGTGTGTGTGTGTGTGTATTCTTGCCTGGGGGATGTGGGTTTTGCTAGCCCAAGTCAGACTGTGGGCTGAGTAACCTGGACTGAAATGGAGGGCAGCCTGGGGCAGGGCCATACGAAATTAGGGGTCGTGGGTATTGGGCGCAGATGCAGAAGGCTGACTGCCAGTGCCAGCCAGTGAGTCCCTTGGAGACAGATTGCGGTTGCTTCTGCTCTGCTGTCTTCCCAGAATCCCACCCTTAGGTTCACTTTCAAGTCTAGTGCAGTATCCTGCTTAGCCAGTAAAGAGTTCTCTGTCCATGTCTCACATAATTCCTATCTTTGAGAAAATTGGGCTAGGGATTTAACCCAGTGGCACCATGCCTGCCTCTAAAGGAAAAAGTCCCGAGTTCGACCCCTGGTACCTGAGACGTTGAACTCCTTTGTCTTTGTGCTTAGTACAGTACCTTCCTGAAATCTGATCACAAGAACCGTGCCTGTGCTACTGTAACACAGTAGGTGAGACAGGGAAATTTATAGTGGGTGGAAATGTATCTGCTTGCAGCCTTCAGGATCACGGAGTTGGTGTCTGATGAAGGCGTCCATCTGTGTCATCACAGGGAGGAAGGCAAGGGGGACAGCAGGGGCTGAACCCGCCCTTCAGAATGACATGAATCCACCCAGGAGGGTGGGGGCCCATGGCCGAACGCTCTCCAACCTGAGACTGTTACAGCGGCAATAAAATTTCACTGTGGGTTTTGGAAGGGACAAACACTAAACCGTAGCAGTAACACGAGTACAACAGCCACAGTGCCCGCGCCTGCTTTTAACTGAGTACTTAGTCGATGCACAGTACCAGTCAGTTTATGGGTTAACTCACTTCACGTTCACAAGGATCCTAGAAGGTAGGTACTTTAAAAAAATCCCCTCAGCGATGTGTGTAAAACAGAGACACATGAGTATGTTCCCACCTAGAGAGGTGGTGCGCCCCAAAATAATCTTTGCTATTCACAGTCCCAATACGCTGAGGTATTCATTGCCCAGGGAAGGTAAGGATTTTGGTCAGGAACTTGAGACCCAACAGTGATCGGTCCTGAATTCCACAGTTTTTCTGGTGCCTCACCTCTTGCCCCCACGTTCAATTATGTTAATTCTTTTCTTTTTGGTAAAATAAGTACAATTTGATACAAACATTAAGCATTTTTGCATGGTTTTAATATACTGAAATTTCCAGAAATGACCTACTGGTAAAAATCAAGAGAAGTGTATGTTTTGTTTTATTTAGCGCTCCTTTAACCAGGGTAATTGAGCACTACAGAAAATCATGTCGCAGAAGCAATGTCACGGGTGGAGCCCAGTTGCCAGTGCCGGGCAAAAGTGTACAGGGCATTTATGGTCCCTGGTGGTGATTTTACCACAGATGCGAGCAGTTCCTCTGGCTGAATTTTGAAAATGCGGATTGAAACAAAAAATTCAAAGACTATTATTAAAAATCCACAAACTAGGTGGAAAAGAAACATAAATACACTTTCCAGGGATTATTTTTTTAGAAAGAGAACTTGCGCTTCTGAAGCTAGTAAAACTTAAGCTTGCAGGGAGACTTCCGGGCCACCCTTCCTTGTGGAAAAACGGCCTCGCCGCACACGGGGAAGGGGCGCTCGTTTCACCTGCGCTCGGCCTGGGATCCGCGCGTCCGACCCCGGCCAGCGCGGA